CATTCAACCAGGGAGAACGAATGACATTCCATGCGGGACTTACTTCGGAGGCGATAAGTATATGAGAATATCTGCCTTCGGTCCCTACGTCTTCACATTAGCTCTTTACTTTTACACACAGTTTACAAAAAAAAAAAAAATTCTTACCGTGGAATATCGGATTTGTCCATTAGCTACAGCAGGTATTTCAAACATGCACTGGCTGGACATTGGAGACAGTGGTCCAAGGCCGAGGCCGCCAAAGCTCTGTTGGCAAACTCCCATTGCAGGTGGCTGCCATTGTCCTGGAACGCATTAAACACAGTTCTCAAAATATATAAAAGAAACGCGTAGCCAGAATTCTCCTAGAAAATAGAGCAGTTTTTCAAAAACATAACATGTTTTCCGATGAAAAAAGGAAGTTGCTCTGTATAACAACGTTAACGCGCTTGTCTTATCAATCGCAAATAAGACGTATTAAAAGAGTATTAAAAAACGTGGACATTAATAAGCGAAAACAAAATTGGTACCATTAATACATGTCGATTCAACCGCTCCGCTTGCTATAAATCCCAGATTACATACCAATGTAGCAATTGTTCGCGACGGGTACGAGGGGGTAGCTGGCTCCGAATATGTCAACTCACCATATGGTGGATCCGCTAATGGAGCACATTGTAGTTCACCGAGAAGACCAAGACCTGGCAGTAAATTAACCATATTAACCAAATTAACCATAGGCGCCTATGTATGATCACGGCATGATGGTTTATTCTCAGAAACAAGTCTATTAGTTACTATTATTGCTAATTGTTATTAAGGGTGATAATATGATGGAAGGCAAACCAGAATAACAATAATGTCGCGGAGATGTAAATTCGGAACCGCTAATAAAACAGCCAGTCCCTCTACAGTTCGTTCATTCGTTTTGGTGGTAAATTGAAATAGTCCTGTACCAAGAAAACAACCGGCTTCCTTTTCATCAACTTGTTCGTACGCAACCCTCGAATGAGGAAGAATCGAAAGTCTTGTCAACGAACGGCTAGCATTTCCGAACTACCGAACACTTCTAAGTAATCCCACCTTGCCTAAGGACAAATACAGAAGGGGTATTTAAATTCATACTATTTGATAAAACACCTCTGCAGAACCTTGCTTTACCAAAAAGCACTGCTAATTAAATAATCTTTAAAAATATCGATTTCGTGGTTTTGCTTGCTCTCCACTTGCGTGACTTTAATGATTCTTCATAGGTTAGAATGAAAGGGATGCGGGCTGATTTGTTTTTGGTTTCGCACGGTTCTTATTTCCAAAGTCTGAAATTTTCTTTTTGGTTACTGACTTGTAAAATTTGTTTCAGTCTGGGCCTGAAAGGCAATTATATTGATTTCCACATATCTGACTTTGCACGCGATGAAGGTTCCCGCGCCCTTCCCTTCTCTCTAAACAGCCAAGCTCCTTCAGATCAGCTTTGAAGTTACGAAGTTCATCTGAGTATGAGCTTGGGTTGAAGGCAGAACATCGGGTGACTTAAAAGCTGACATCAGCTTTGAGGGTTCTCACATGATTTTGGTGTGTTTGCTCTTAATAAATAGCAATAGGAATTTGTGGCACACGAGCTGACACATGGACAAACATACAAACGAGGTTTCACCTTACTGTTTTTTCGTATTCTGCTGCTAAACGAGAAGAGTGGTGATTGGTTGAATAATAAAATCATTGCACTTTGTTAAAATCGAGCTTTCATATGGCACCCACCTCCAACTCCTTCAGGAATACACTGCGACAAGAT